CCTGGCTCTTTTTAGTGAACAATGATATCTAGAAATAAAATTTTAACTCTTGTCATTACTTTATAGGCCCTCTCAGGAGAGCAGTTAGAATACACACAACACACACACACACACACACACACACACACATTTCTAGCTATCTCTGTCTTTAATGAATATATTTAAAAACCTATAATTTCATATTGACATCTCCAATGTTAAACAATACTTGAGAAGAGACCTGGCTCCTATCATCTACAATACACTTACTGATCTGCTCAAGCTTAGAATATACAGAAAATAATTTTAAGCATACTAACATATAACACTGTGGAAAGCCAAAAATGCAAAAATTATATGGTTGGGTCTACTATTTTGGTACTTGTTTTCTATTTGTCCCATTTGGTTTTTGTTCCTGTTTCTTATTACCTGACCTACTTTTGAGTTAATGAGAACTGAATACACTGCTTCAATTCCTTCATTTTTTCAGGTATGTCTGTTTTTAGGGTTGCTCTAGGGACTGCAAGTTGCCTTTTGAATTTATCAGTCTCTCTTTTTATTTATTAAAATTTATTTTTTTCCATGAGGGGGTGGGGAGAGGCACTTTCTTTATTAATTGTTAATTTTTGAGTGATTTATTTCTTTAAACATTCTATACCATTATTTCATATTGTATCTCTGATAATATTTTGTAAAGTCTTTTAAATCTAAATTTATTGGTTATTAATATGTGCTATAACTTGTTTGGTTATCTGTGATTAGGGGATATCTTCTGATTGATTTTAATCTGTGGAAGAACTGTGAAACTAAACTGAGGATGTTGTCTTCCAAAGATGTACATTTTATCTCTAGCAAAGGGATCCATACCAACCAGGGATCATTTTAGCTCCCTTCCAGCTTAATCACTGTCTCAAGCTTAACCCTTTACCTTGTCTCTAGTCTATCATGTGCAACATGAATATCTATATATATATATATATGTATGTATTATATTATATGTATATTCAGGTACATCCCACCTTTAAATTGTGCTTACTCCTTATGGCAAGGTTTCAGTTCATTATTTTATGTTCACCTTCTGAGATTTGATTCCCTACAAGTCTACCACTGTAATAAAAAATGAGACTTCTGAAGAACCTAGCTGTTTTGGAATATAGGGGCTTTCATAAATTCTATTCTGTATATTAGGGGAGTTTCTCATGCCATTATAAAAAGACCTTATTGGGGCCAGCAAGTGGTATGGTAGTTAAGGCGCTGGACACTCCCACATTGCTGATCCAGGTTTGAGTCCTGGACCTGGTAGCTTGCTTTCTCACCTTCACTCTCTCTCTGGTCAAATTAAAATAAATGAATGAATAAATAAAATTAAATAAATAATTCCTTGAAAAAAGGCTTTATTATGTTTTGATTATTTTTTAGATTTATTTATTGATTATTATTTTTTATTTGATCAGAGAGAGACAGAGAGAAGGAAAGTGAAAAAGCAAGCCACCAGGTCTGGGACATGAACCACAGCTGACCATATGGGAGTCCAGCACCTTAACCACCACACAACCTGCCAGCCCTGTTTTACTGATTCTTACAAGCAGGAAAGAACTGTATTTAGATTTCATATTTTAAAAATTCATACTTATATAAAGTACTAACAATTTCACTAACCTTCTTTAAAAATGCAAGGTACTTTCTTTTCTTTTCTTTCTTTTTTTTTTTTTTTTTAGGTTTTTGTCATAGGATGCATGCACTAGAGACAGAAAAAGTAAGAAATCATCTCTTGGGGTGATGGCCATGCTTCAGCCCCTTCTTTTCCTTCTCCTTCATTCTCCGCTCAGGATTTTGGGCATACACACACACACACACATACACGCACGCACTCACACGTGCCTGGTTTGATTTTTAAGCCAGTAGGTCTGGGGCTCAAGCCATGGTTGGCCATGTGGGAGTCCAGAGCCTTTAAGCATCATGCTACCTGCTGGCTCCAAGTGCAGGGCCAGTAATGATTAACTTACACTTGGCCTGACATAATTTCATTTATTTAAAGGTTTTTATCATGGGGCGCCTATGCTCACTAGATAGAGTTTAGAGAGCAAGGGAAAGTGAAAAATGACCTTCCAGAGAGGATGGCCACGTTGCAATCCCTTCTCTTCTATACTCTTTTTTGGGATTTTGGGAGTGCATGGACACGTCCCCAGTGTGATTTTCAAGCCACCAGATCGAAGGCTTGAATCAGTTCACCCTGTGAGAGTCCAGAGCCTTAACCACCATGCCACCTGCTGGCCTCATGGCCTGACATCATTTTACCCACCCGTTTCTTTATAATTAATACACAAAACAAAATAAATTACACTTAACATTATCATCAACAAGACTACAAACGCAAATAGATGCAACAAAATAGTTTAGCAGAACTAGTATATACTTATATTCCATTTTCTTTAATCATGGAAAAGATAGCAAATTTTATTCTTTTAAAAAATTTTTTTTCATTCCCTTTTTTTTTTTTTTTAGAGAGATTTCTTGCTATAGGGTGTATGCGCTCACCAGAGAGACAGACAGACAGAAAGCAAGAAATCACCCTGGGGGGATGACCATGCCACAATCTCTTCTCCATTCTCATCTAGGGAGTTTGGGCATGCACACACACACACACACACACACACACACACCTGGCTGGTCCAGGATTTGGACCATGGTCAACTCTGTGGGAGTCCAGTGCCTTAACCACTATGCTACCTGCTTGCCTCTTCTCTTTATTCATGATAACCATGTACACACACATGTGAAAGTGAATGAGAGAGAAAAACTTCTTGGGAACCCTTCGTAGGGTCTGGTCATGCCATGAACCCTTCCTCCAGGCCTCCAGCTTATCAGATTTTGGGCACTCACACACATTCCCAACATGTTTTAAGCTGACCTGGCCAGGGATTCAAATCACAGTTGCCATGGGGGATTTCTCTTATGCATCAATTTAGCACCATGCTACATAGCTGGACTTACAGTACATTTTAAAGTTCTCTCAGAATTTTATAAATACATCAGCAAAATGGACTCCATTTTGAGAAATACAATTATTTTTTTCCAAACTAATGTTATTCTAACTTATAACACTAGTTAGTTTGGAGCAGAATAAAGTTAACACTCATAGAATAGACTCCCTTTGGCTGAATTAGCATCATGATGTACACTAACTAGAAATGCTAAGCAAATAGTATTAAGAAGGCTTATAAAGGAAAAGTTGGAAGAAAAAAACTAAAATGAACTTACTTATACCGAGAGCCATTATAATGGTAGATTTGACTTAAGAATTATAAAAATACAAATGTGATGTGAAATTTGTCTATATAAGATGGTATCTTTTGGGGATGGCCCTGTAGCACAGAAAATAAGCCCTGTGTATAGAGAGCCAGATCCCACATGGCTGACCACAGTTTGAATCCTGGCCCTGGCAGCTTGAAAAACAAGCTGGGCGCATGTATGTGTGTGTGCCCAAAATTTTAAATGGATAGAAAAATAGAGGAAAAATGATTGCAATGAGATTACATCCCATTGAGGATTGCTTTCTCTCTCTCTTTCTTTTGTTTTTAGAGAATGTACCTGCTTCTGGCAATTAAAAAAAAAAAAGGATGAAATCTTTCCAAAGCAGTAACTTTGTCATTTAATTAATACTTATTCAGCAAAGAGCACTGAGTTACAATTTAAGGATCAAACAGCTGGTTAACAGAACCACATTCAAATACACAGGGCCAGATGTGGTAGGACCAGACTGAGGTACGCAGCACAGCAGCATTGCTCTGTGATGCAATTCCACAGGGAAGGTTCCCAGTTCCAGACACTAAGTGATTTCTCACTTTTTCTCTTTGTCTTTCTCTGGGTAGCATACACACACTATAGCAAAAAAGAAAACAAATGATTATTTTTGCACATCTTTGTACTTTCATGTCAATTCCTCTTTGATACAAATACTTCCCAAGCTGTGTTATTATGCATTTTACTCAGTCCTGAAGATGAGGAAGGAATAGGTTAGTCTAGAAATGAGATCTAAGTATGACATGGGGCAGAGAAGAATAGGGAACATTACATATCCACCTCCCACTGCCTCCCTTCTTCAGTGATAAGTGATAGGATGGCAACTATATTTTATTCATCTCCATATAGGATGGATGAAGGGCTGACAGGACAAATAAATATCCAACACAATGCCTATTCCCAATATTAATCATCAGATTATTGGTACTAGATGGGAATTTAGGGGCCATCTAGGACAAACTTTTTTTTTTTTTAAGGATACATTTTTGCTGTAGGGCGAGTGTGCTCACTGGAGAGACAGAAAGCAGAAATCACCCGCCCAGAGGAATGGCTATGCTGCGATCCCTTCTCCTCTGGGGACTTTGGGCACGCACGCACATGCTTCTGCACGAGTTTTAAGCCGCTGAGTCTGGGATTCAAACCTCTGACAGGTACGTGGGAGTCCAGCGATGTAACCATTATGCCATCTGCTGGTCCCAGGGACAAACTTATTTCTATAAGAAACCTGAAGCCCAGAGTCGATAAGTGACTTGCCCAGTAGTTAAAGTCTTACCTGAAATCCAGGTATGGAGACCCAGCCTACGAATTTTAACCCCCCCCCCCGAATTTATATAAAGTTATCACAATCCAGGCACTAAAGGACTTTATCAAATGATAGAGGTGGGTTTTCTTCTATCTACTTTGTCTGATCTTCCCTATGTTCATCTTATTGAAATTATTTCAAGTTAGACATCACTTAAATGAAGTGCTCATGGCCTATAAAATCCGTCAAAAACCTTGGAGAAACATAAAGAAAGTGAACAACGACTACCAGATGAGTACTGCTGGAGGAGGGGCCGCGGTGGACGGCGGTACCCGCACAGGGAATGGTGGACAGAGGAGGAAAGTGCCTACTTAGAAAAACGGGACGACGAACAAGGCGACTGGGCCACATAATATCTACTCTCCTTGCTTACAGAGGGTCCCCAAAACAGCAAGAGCGGGGAGGAGATACCTACGGCATTTCGAGAGTCAGGGAAGCACTTCTGCTACTAGACACAGCGAACTGATCGCCCTCTTCCGAGACCAGAGAATCCACCAAGACAAACGCTGAAGCACAAAAAGCGCGGGCGAGCGGGCGCGCCACACCGTGTGACACCTATCGCGGCCCGCCGGAAACACTCGGCCGGCGACAAAAGATCCGAGTGCGTGTGTGTATGTGTGTTGGGGAAAAGGCTTGGTAGGGAGGAAGTTAGACCCAAGACCCCTGGTGGGTTCAACTCACGACCCACTCGCACTCTTCTGGCCCAGAGTGGCCTCCGGATGGAAGAGCAAGTTTTTTTTTTGTTTGTTTGTTTGTTTGTTTGTTTGTTTTAAGGAGTCTGTTCGCTCCAGATCAACGTTCTCTAGGTTTCTAGCCGGGCCGTTTGGGGACGTGCTCTGTATCTTATTTCCGGTGGCGGAGAGGCGCAGTTGCCATGGTAATTACAGAAAGGCTGCTGTCCGCCCTGCTGCGGGGAGAGGATCGCGGGATCGCAGAAGAGGGCTGACTGCGCTTCCTGGTTTGTGAGCTGGAATTAGGTAGCAGACAGCTCGCTGTCTCGGTCTCTCCGCTCCCTCTGTCCTTCCCTGCGCGGCTGCTCTTCTCCACCTGCTGCTTTTACTTCTCTGTCATCCCAACAGTTGGTCTCTGTCTGTACCCAAATCGTACAAATAAATGGAGTCTTAACCCAGAGGCATGAAAAAGAAAAAGAAAAAAAGAAATCCTAGAGTTGTGGCCCGAGATTAGCGGTGGCCGTGCTGCCCTTGTGCAGGGACGGTGACTGGATGGCTCTGTTTTCTCTTGGCCAGAGGCGCTTGTTAGTTTATTTTTCTTGCTATTGTGTGGCTGGTTATTTATGGAGCCGTTTGCTGTAGTGTACTCTCTAGGCCCCTGTCTCGGTCTCGGGCTGGAGTTTTAAATAAAGGAGGTTTCCAAGCCTGAGGGGTGCAATTACATATTTATTTAAGCTTCAGTTTAGTCTCTTGTCACAGAACGGGAAAGGGTGGAATTCCTGGAACATTTTTGCCGTGGGATTTACACGTGAGGGACCCTCCTTATTTTAGAACGAGTGGGGGAAGATGAT